ATTTTTGTTTAAAAATGAACCTCTTAAATACATACAAAGGAATATATTTTAAATAAATAATTATATATCCTACTTTTTTGTATCGAGCACTATTTTTAAAAATGTCCTAAAATACTAAGGGACTTTGGATTATTTACCTAACCAGTTCCTTCCTATTTTCTATAAAACACTTAACACACACACACACACACACACATATATATATATATATATATATGTAAGCAAATATATCCATTGGAAAATATACTGAAAAAACAAACAAAAATACTAATATGCGATTATGAATGTTTAATGTCAACGTCGGACGTTTCTGTCAATAGACCATCTTCAGGACATATTCATTGTTTTTTGTTTGTTTTTTTCTATTTTTCTTCATATATATATATAATATATATATATATATATATATATATATATATATATATATAATATTAGTGGTAAATGTACCCACATATTTCATATATCTAAAATGTATAAATATATATACATACATACATACACATACATATATATTTGTATAAAAAAAATTCCAAGAGGATAGAATCCCTCAATGTCCAGGACAGGCTATAATAAAAGGCTTAAACACTAATATTCCATGGTCTAATTTATTCCATTGGATGGGTGATCCAATTCATCAGATCTCAACTGCCAATGTGGGCAATTACAAACTATGGAACATCTTCTAGTTTGCGCCAATTTTCAAGATTCATTCACACTTAACGATCTTGAAACCTTAACACCCCTCAGGCAATGATGAAAAGGGACGGCAAACTGTTCTCTCAATTGAATCTCTCTTTACCTGGAGTTTTAGCTAGTGTATAGTTTTGTATAGTTTTATTGCATCTCTAACATTGCTTTCATCCCGTGAGACAGTTATACTTCTCACCATGCGAGTATTCACAACCTGGACATCGAGGTCCTTTTGGTTCACGGTCTGCCGTATATTCCTTTTGTCTCTGTGTGCTGATGGTTTCTGGTGATGTCACTGACTGCTTTCTTTCGAGTGTGTGGCGACGTGTCCATATCTACACGGTTATTTTGAGAATGATTTTACTTCACCATTTATAATTTATTAATTCAATTTATTCACTAATATGATTATCTCTTTGTTAGAGACACGCTGACGTTTTGGGGAATGCTACGTTTCAAACTTAAACATTCGTCTATCGGATAAGTGGCATCATGTGTAGTACGTCCCAATTCTTGACAACAGCAGGAAAAGAATATATTAAATATTTTATTCTTATTATCTTCTATACATTTTAAATATTTCATATATATTTTAAAATGTCATCTTCTATAGTGAAAGAGGTTTTATTTAATGCTGGTTGTATTTTGTGTATAATAATAGCTTAAAGTATTTTCTTACAGTGAATGTTATATGGTATTTTGATAATATCTACTAATATCTGCCTTATGTTCATAGGTGTGTTTTAGTTGTTTGTCATGTAATGATCGATATGTACCCGAATCGCATCTATATCTATAATTGTCAATATGTGTGTGTGTATGTATATATGTATGAGTGTGTTTGCGTACGTGCGTGCGCGCATGCGCGCGTGTGTGTGATTGGATGTTGTTTACACGTTTCCACAGTTTTCATCCGATTTCGATGATTTTTTTCTTGTTTCATAGATAATTCTACAGTGCCGGTTTCGAGTCCAAATTGTTGGCGACAATGGCTCTCCACTACTTCCTGTCCATTATAACTCTCAGCAACGTTTTACTATTTACTATCTGTTTTTGGATAGATATCTTTCATAAAAACTTTAATAAAAATAAATACTTTAAATTATGATAATATATTATGTATATCTATAATTCTCAAAATGTGTATGTGTATGTATGTATGTATGTGTGTGTGTGTTTGTGGGATTGGATGTTGTTCATGCGTTTCCTCAGTTTTCATCTGATTTCGATGAAATTTTTTTCGTTTGATAGATAATTCTTCAGTGCCGGTTTTGAGTCCAAATTGCACATTCCCCTTCTCTTGGCCAAGCAATCAATCTCCCTCAAGCAAGGTTACCTTTTCCGTTGCATAAAGCCTACTACTGCAGTTTTAAGGCGTTGCTTTCATTATCGTTTATAGCCATTCCCAATTTAAATATTTTTTTATTGTCCTGACAGTTTTTGCATTGCATTCGCCGTAGTAATAAGTAAACTTGACGGTGCAAAAATAATGACGTAATAATGTCGTTTTTTGACGTTAAAAAATTCAAAAACGACAGTATTACGTCATTATTTTGCATTTTATTTTCCAACCTTTCCTAAAGTTATTCGAGTTGTAGCTTTACAGTGTTCTCTTCTGGTATTTACCCACGCATTTTTGACAATTTATTTTGCATTTTTCTGCCATTGAATAAAAGATAACGAATCGTCTTTAGAATGTTCACTTTGCCTGTCTCAAAATGCCTCTCGGAATGCTTCCATCAGAGCCACTGAGTCCGAAGATCAACGTAGCCATCAACTTTCCAGAAGAGCATACCTGAACGCTTCTGTGCGCGAGGCTGAAAATGATGATCAAAGGGCTCAACGGTTGAGGAGAAACGCCTCTTCAACTGCTGCTGCGCGTGAGGCTGAAACAAGAGAACGCAAAAACGGCCCTTTTCAAATTGTTACCCCCCATTTACCCCCCATTTACCCCCCATAACCCCTCAGTTACCCTATTGTTGTTACTATTATTGATTTTCGGGTGGCTGACTTTAAACTTAAACTGCTCCAATTGAACGGTAAAAATTCCCAGTAATGAAAGACCCGGTCGAAGACTGGCTATACTGCTAGTTAAGTCTATAAAAGTGACAAGTTAATCCACGAGGGAGTGGGATGTTTGTGTGACCGATGAAAGACTTGAATAGTGTTTCTAATTATTGGTATTGGAAAACCAATTTCCCAAAAGGTTCGATAAGTTATAAACAATAGAGGATGTATTTATGAGGTTTCAAGTTATTGATAATGATCGGGATAGACGTTTAAAGATTTTTTTTTATATAAAGGATAAATCATAAGTATTTATTGCAATCATTAAGTAATGTGGCTTTTTCATCTTGTAATTAGCGCGCATCTTGTTATGGTAGAATATATATACATGCACAACGCATATATATATATATATATATATATATATATATATATATATATATATATACAGTAGCGTTAAAATTTTAAAACCTAAAAAATAACAACTGTGAAAAGCTGAAATTTTGACAACTGGTAGTCGTTATCATCCATAATAACATACTAAAATTTGAATCATTTGCAAAGGATAGAAAAAGAATTATAACAATTATTTATTTATTTTCAAATTTGGAACGTCCAAAAGTAAGGGACAAAATTGAGAAAAAAAATAAAAATACATGTACAATCAATATTTAGTAAATGAGCCCTTGCTCTCAATGACAGCTGCACATCTTCGACTACAAGAACGAATCAGTTCTTGACAATCCTCGATACTAATTTTAGACCATTCTTCTTGAAGCTTCACCCACAAATCCTCCGTGTTAGTGGGATTTCTTTCCATAACTTTCACTCCTAAGGTCTTCCAAAGATTTTCTATTGGATTTAAGTCAGGACTTTGCTGGCCAATCCATAATTTCCAAATCTTGCTCGCTAACGTAACTCATTACCACCTTTTGCCTTGTGACATGGGGGCATTATCTTGCATGAAGGTAGCCCTATCGAAACCTGAATTCTGTATGATTGGCACAACAATCTTGAACAATGTTTTTATAGATCTGCGCGTTTACAAAGTTTGTAACCAGACAAGAAGCGTTGTACCTTGGCTAGAAAACATGACGCTTCTGCCCCCAAACTTGACAGTTTTTTTAGTACACTTTGCACTTAATCTTTCACCAATACGTCTCTTTACATTGTTTTTTCCATCATTTCCAAATAAATTAAACTTGCTTTCATCACTGAAAAATACTTTTGCCCAATTTTCATATGTCCAAATTACATACCTGTTTGCAAACTCTAATCTCTTATTATTCTTCGAACTAACAAGTGGTTTCTTCCCTGGGGTTCGATTAAACAGCCCTATTTCTTGCAGTCAAACAGTGTGTCTTGACACATTAACACATGAGGTACTATTCATAACCCTTTTAATTTCTGTGCAAGACTTAAAACGGTCTTTTAATGACATACGGCCGAAGTTTTGCGGGGTCTGCCGGTTTTAAAAGCACTAACTATTTTGCCAGTATCATTGTAGGATTTAACAACCCTGCCTAATTTAGAACGTTTAAAATCTCTCTAATGGTGTGCTTTTCCTAGTTAGCTTCATTTGTCTCACAGAGTAATCAAGTTTTTGGCGTTTCGCCATGGTGCCGGCTGATGCAACGTTTACAAATGACTAAGTAAGACTTATTCTTTAGAGAAATCAAAAATTTGAATATAGCATACTGTTTACATTGTTTTTCTCAATGTTGTCCCTTACTTTTGGACGATCCTATTTTGAAAATAAATAAATAATTGTTATAATTCTTTTCTATCCTTTGCAAATGATTCAAATTTTAGTATGTTATTAATGATAGCGACTACCAGTTGTCAAAATTTCATTTTCACAGTTGTTAATTCTAACAAATATTAGGTTTTAAATTTTTGTCCCTTAGTTTTGGACGCTACTGTATATATATATATATATATATATGAATACGTATTAAGTACATCAATAAGTCCATGATCTAATGCTGAAAAAGCATTTATTTTACGGCCCAAATATTTATTTTACACCATAATCTTCTTCTTTGTAATTGCACTTAAGAGAAGAAGGAAAGTTTATCATAGGGAGTAGTGGGGATAAGAATAAATGTTAAAGAGAAGAAAAAATCAGCAACGAAAGAGGAAGGAGACGATGAAAAAAAAAAGATGGAAGAAAGGAAGAATAAGAAGAGACAAAGTTTCAAAAAGGAGAAGGAGGTGGTGATTAGAGAAAAGGATGATAAAAGAGGAGGAAGGTAAGAATTAAGTATAAAGAAGAAGAAGAAGAAGAAGAAGAAGAAGAAGAATTAGAAGAAGAGAGTGAAAGGGTGTGCCTGTGACGAAAGGACTCCGAAAGAAGAATAAGAAAGATGGACAAAAATAAAAAAAAGATTGAGAAACAGATGATGTAGAAAGAAAGAAAGAAGTAGAAGAAGAGAAGGGGAGGTAGAAGTTAGATAGGATCTAGAAAAGAAAGAAACAGACGACAGGATTGACCGGAAGGAGAAGAATCCAAATAGATAAGATAAAAGGACTAAAAGAGGAGAAAGGAAGAGTTAAGAAAGAGACAAAGGAATGAGTAAGAGATAAATAGATAAATATATGGAGAGAGAGAAATAGAGAGAGAAAAGGGAAAAGTGATGAGAAGAGAGAGAAAGAAGAGAGAGAGAGAGAGTGAGTGTGTGTGAGAGAGAGAGAAAAGGAAAAGTGATGAGAAAAGAGAGGGAAAAAAGGTAGATAGAGAGAGAGTGGGGGGGGGGAGAGAAAGAGAAAGAGAGAGAAGCGGAAGTGAGTGAGGAGGAGATGCAGAAGCAAAAATGACGGACCAACGTTTTTCCACCATTGCGAAAGTAATTTTCCCCATTTCTTCACAGATTTGTCCCTGACGCCCTTCCCTCAGGCCAACCCATTTTCTGTGCTTCGCCGCTCGTCTATCTAACCTGAGAAATAGGACGTCATAGCAGAGGATGGGGGACAAAGCGAAAAGATAGTCAGTGAAGGTTAACATCGTAATACTTAATAATATTGGAATTTTTATCACTGCAAGTCCGCCATCTGTCGAACAGGGCATCAGGTTGCAGGGAGAAGACTAGGTGGGAGGAAGGCTTGGTTGGTACGGTGGTAGAGTGTCGGGTGGTCAGGGTGAGGAGGCCCGCAGCGGAGATTTGGCGGTGTACTTGAATGTTTGGTGGTGGTGGTGGTGGTAGAGGTGAGGGCCAATTGGACGGAATAAGCCGGTTTCCAATCAGCTTCGAAGAAGCACCTGCTGTGCCACCGAGAGTCGACCCGCAAAAACATATTTTATTTCCTGGAAATTTCCCTACGGAAATTAAAGCGTTAGGTAAGAAATGTGCCGGCGTTGGAGCGACAGGACGCGTGCGAGCACACGACAGTGGGCACCGGAATGGTGGGGTTGATAATCCGTTCTTACAGACGCACGCACCTGACCAGACACTAACATGCATAGGACTAGTGTCAGGATAGAAAGAGAAAAAAAAACACATATAGTAACATATGCACTCATTCCTCCTCCTCCTTCCCGACACTTTCCCCTCCTCATATTCTTGTTCTTGTTCTTATTCAGATTCTTCTTATTCTTCTTCAGATTTTTCCGAGTCTTCTTCTTCTTCTTCTTCTTCTTCTTCTTCTTCTTCTTCTTCTTCTTCTTCTTCTTCTTCTTCTTCTTCTTCAGATTCTTCTTCAAATTCTTTCCCTTCTTCTTCTTCTTCTTCTTCAGATTCTTCTTCTTTTTCTTCTTCAGATTCTTCTTCTTCTTCTTCTTCAGATTCTTCTTCTTCAAATTCTTTTCCTTCATATTCTTCTTCTTCTTCTTCTTCTTCTTCTTCAGATTCTTCTTCTTCAAATTCTTTTCCTTCATATTCTTCTTCTTCTTCTTCTTCTTCAGATTCTTCTTCTTCAAATTCTTTTCCTTCATATTCTTCTTCTTCTTCTTCTTCTTCAGATTCTTCAGATTCTTCTTCTTCAAATTCTTCTTCATATTCTTCTTCTTCTTCTTCTTCTTCTTCTTCTTCTTCTTCTTCAGATTCCTCAGATTCTTCAGACATAAGAACGTTTTTTCTTTTAGAGCTTTCTCGTAGAAGTCGTTTTCCTCTTATTTACATGAGAAGAAACAATAATTTCTTGGCGAAAGGCTCCTTGTTGACACTATTTTCTGCATCTCTTCTAGTTTTCTCCTTCACGTGTATTACTTCCTTCTTTATAGCTGTTTTCTGCCTTCTCCTTTTTCATATGGGGATACAAGAATTTCCTCCTAATTCTTCATCTTAGACATCATCGTTTTTTTTTCATTTTGCCCCATCTTATCTTTCACTAAAGCGTTTTCTTCTTCTTCCTCCTCTTCTTCCTCTTCTTCTTCTTCTTCTTTTTCTTCTTCTTCCGCTTCAGATTCTTCTTTTTTTTCAAATTCTTCTTCTTCTTCTTCTTCTTCTTCTTCTTCTTCTTCTTCAGATTCCTCTTCTTTTTATTCATATTCCTCTTTTTCTTCTTCATATTATTTTTCTTAATCTTCAGATTCTTCTTTTTCTACTTCTTTTTCTTCCGATTCTTATTTTTCTTTTTCTTCTTCAGATTCTTTAGAGTCTCATTCTTCTTCAGATTCTTCTTTTTCTTCATATTCTTTAGATTCTTCTTCTTTTTCAGATTCTTCGTCTTCTTCTTCTTCTTCTTCTTCAGATTCTTTTTCCTCGTCTTCTTCTTCTTCTTCAGATTCTTTTTCAGATTCTTCTTCTTCTTCTTCAGATTCTTTTTCCTCGTCTTCTTCTTCAGATTCTTTTTCCTCGTCTTCTTCTTCAGATTCTTTTTCCTCGTCTTCCTCCTCTTCTTCTTTAGATTCTTTTTCCTTGTCTTCTTCTTCTTCTTCTTCTTCTTCTTCTTCATTCTTTCACCAATGTCACCATCTCAGCAACCTTCACACTACAATTTATTCTCTCCTATCTTTTCTTCACTTCCTTCTTGTTTTTACTTTTGTTCTTCCTTTCAACAAAATTTGCATGGCATGTTTGTCGAATTGGTTCTTGCCTCACATGTCCCTATCTGCTTCTCACAAAACATAAAACTGACCCAAAATAGATGAGCATACAACAACGAGGTTATTATTGTAAGAGCTTTCTTTCCGTCTCTCTCCCTCCCCCCTCTCTTTTTCTCTCGCACACACACACACACACACACACACACACACACACACACACACACACACAAAGAAGAAGTAGTGTGAAAAAGAACATTGCTTGTAGAGAGTTAGACTCGTGGATCTGTTTGTAAAGGTTGCGAGTTCAATACTCATTTGTGTCGCACTAATCTAATCTAACCTGGATGCCTACCTCAACGCGATGATGAACAAGTTAAGATCTACGCACAAGTTCCCTACTTCCGTGCTCTCTGTTAGAATTCATTAAGAATTGACTCAGCTTTTTAATGTATTCTCACACATTAAGACAAATATAAAAATAGGTGTCATGGGTATGACGATAAACTACATCCGGCAGCAAAGCCTCAGATCGGGAGGTTTTGAGGATCGTGGAACCATCTCTTAATTGCTGTTGTTCCCAGGTTCACCCTGATCCGGAATGGTAGCACCTTTTAGGGTCCCAAATATGGGTAAATATTTAACCCCCAAACTGGGGTCAAAACACTATGAACGTAATAAAAATACATTTTTATATTGATGTGACACTGAGGTTGTAAGGGGGCTAAACCTAAATTCTAAGCGGAAAAAGGGTTAGGCCCAAAATAAAATATAAAATGGAAGATAGAGAGATAGAAAGAGAGAATGGAAGACATTTTCCCTGATAATGAATAAGTGAAGTAAGGGTCATCGGGGTTGCTTCGCCCCTACGAAGTGGAACGATGCAATAAGAGTTTACTATTTTATTCTGTCTAAAATCTGGCATGCGGGTAAAGCAAATTAGGAAATGGCTTTATCTTTTTCTTGGGAAATTAGAAAAACACGTGTCATTTGTGAAAAGAGAAGCAAACAAGAATTATATTTTCGTTAGCAAAAATGAATTGAGAAATGAAAACAGAGAATGAACCCACTACGAGTGTTAGGATTATGAAAATCGATCCGCTATAACAGGCAGGTGATCTGGTTTATGTTTTGTCTAAGACGACAACCGGCCCAAGGATGGAAAACAGGGTGTCTCTTTGTTGAGAATTTACGTAAACAAATATATTTTCATTGACGAAAACAAATTGGTAAATAATTTTTGTCTATCACTCGGAAGGTTAAAACGAAATGGTGGTCTGGTTTGGGTTTTCGCTGGGCAAGTGGGTACAGGAAAAGAGTCAGAGAATTGAAATTAATGAGGAGAATAAACTACACCCGTCTTCCTACGCACCTTAAAAATTAGATTTGTCACTGTTATGGGACCTTACCCATAATAACATAATGGACTATTCCATACGTAATAAATACTGCGCCTCAAGAGAAAGCAGAGAGTTCAGTCTGAAGTCGGACGACCGGCTGACCGGCTGATTGGTTGAACTCTCTGCCTTCGGGCGGGAAGGAACCCGAACGAGGCTACGTCGAAGGGCGGAGTCTCTTTCGGGGAGGTAAACCGACCCTGAACCAGTTTATACGGATTCAAAGGGCTTATTTTTGGCCAAGCCCACGGGCTCGGAGATCCCACGGGCTCGGAGATCCCACGGGCTCGGAGATCCCACGTTAAACCGGCCTTGTGCCATATGATGCCCTCGTGGGGGGTGACTAAATACCGTTCAGTCTGAAGTCTGGAGTGAAATCCGTCAGGAGTCAGTCAGAGGCAGTCCGAAACAGAGTCGCGTTCAGACAATTACTATAAGACATTGGAATAGTGATACTGGTCGAGACTACATTGTTCTCCCTACTAAACCTGATTATTCGTACTAACACTTTCTACTTCTCTGTATATATTCCTGTTTGTAATATATCTGTGTTATTCCATATCCGTGTTCGAGTTCTTCTTTATTGGTTCTACCTTGGACCATCACCGTGGTACAAGGACCTTTGTACCATAACAGTCACAAAGAGAGTTATTCCAGCCCTAAGAAGTCGACAGAGTTAGAATACCGAGATTGAAGGAAGAAGGTAAGAATTTAGTCCCGTCTGTGCGGAGTAGTGGTGCGAGATGTGAAGGGAAGAAAGTTGGAGGTAAGGGAAGAACAATATCTGTGATTACTCCCAATCCCTGTGATTACTCCAACGCCGGCACATTTCTTACCTAACGCTTTAATTTCCGTAGGGAAATTTCCAGGAAATAAAATATGTTTTTGCGAGTAGACTCTCGGTACCACAGCAGATGCTTCTTCGAGGCTGATTGGAATCCGGCTTATTCCGTCCAATTGGCTCTCACCTCTACCACCACCACCACCAAATATTCAAGTACACCGCCAAATCTCCGCTGCGGGCCTCCTCATCCTGACCACTCGGCACTCTACCACCCTACCAACTAAGCCTTCCTCCCACCTAGTATTCCTCTTGCAACCTGGTGCCCCGTTCGACAGATGGCGGACTTGCAGTGATAAAAATTCCAATATTATTAAGTATTACGATGTTAATCTTCGCTGACTATCTTTTCCCCTATAGATAATTCTCCAAATTTGGAAAATTGATTAAGAATGCCGGAATAGGGGACAAAGGAAACCTTTATTGGAATTAATGAAAATTGGGCAATCACCGAATCCCCAGAATCCTTCAGCCCTACGCCAGTTTTGCTCCGAAGTGAATATAAGCAGATGACTTTGGAAGATCAGAGACTTTTCAGAGATTTGAGAACCTGCATTGACTGCCTCTGAAATACACGTCAGCTGTCGCTAGATTTCCTGATTCCAAGACTTTGAACCCAGATCCTCAGATGCTTAGACAAGGCCCAGTGTCACTATAGAGATTGATGCGGGAAGGGTTAATTTTTATTGTACCAAGAGCTATATAAACCCAGTGAAATTAACCCCACAAATCTCTCGTTTTATTTTTTCGCAGTGAAGATATTTTCCTTAGTATAGCACCCGTCACAGCTTGAACAAGCTGTGGCGGGTGTGATACTAAAGAAAAATACTGTAGATCGAAGCGGCCAGCGACCAACAAACACCCTAGACCAGCGTCAGCACTGACCAGCGCTATGATAGCCCTGTGGTTAAAATGTCATCTGGAGACCCTGAGGACCGAATCACTATTTGACCCTGGGTTGCTGATGTTATATTAATTGGTGTCCGAATCAAATTGCCCAGCTCAACCTAGCCCGGAACAAGAGAAGAAAAAGGAAAAGAGTAGAAAAAGACAATTTTTTACGGGAGTAAGAACCAACGGATTTTAGTCAATAAGATTCTGAAACTCCATGACCATGTTTTCCTGTTTTATCTAGTCGAGGCCACCACAGCGGCCATAGATCTGGCCAAAAACAGTGTCAAAGAAGATAAGAAGAGGTGGATTTCGGTTTAGAAATCAGGAATGTGGCAGCCAAATTAAAGA